AGGTGAGCGGTGGTGAGTGAAGAGCGTTGCTGACTTGCAATGATGGGCTGACGACACGGTGCCACGGTGAGAGGCAGGCTGAGATGACCCAACAGCAGCCTTGAAGCTCAGTTGGAGGTGAGCGGTGAGTGTTGCAGGGCAGCAGAGGCCAAGGGTTGTAGTGACGGCGAGGTTAAGAGCTGAAGGGAATCACTGTGAAGGTCCGTGGAGATGAGGGCAGAGTTTGAGCAAGAGTGTGGCAGAGGACTAGAGGAGAGGAAACTTAGAGACTGGCTGGAGAGACCGACCGAGAGAGTGATCGACTAAGAGACGGCATGGTGAGTCGGTGAGAGGTTGAGAGCTGAAGGGAAGCACCGATTCATAGTGATCCGTGGAGATGAGGGTAGAGTTTGAGCAAGAGTGTGGCAGAGGACTAGAGGAGAGGAGACTCAAAGACTGACTGGAGAGGAGAGATTGACGCCAATCGAGAGAGGAATGAGGAATCCCAATTCCCAAATTCGCAATTTGCAATTGCAAGAAGCGGCAAGCAAAAGAGAGACTGAGTTAAATGTCCTCCTGCTAGGGTTATATGTAAATCGGGCCTGTAAATTGGGCTGTAAATTGGGGCTGGGCAATTAGGTTTAGGATTATTAGATTCACAAAAAAAATTGGGTTGGGCTGAGAATTGAGCTTGAAAAAATTGATAAAAGAATGGGTTGTGAAATTTAAGTTATGTTGGTATTGGGTTAACTAATTAAATTGGATAAGTAAAAATTAATTGCTAATATATGTACAAAATATATATATAAACAAATTTATATATTTTTTTATTTTATATGGATTCCCACGGTTCCCCACGGGTGGAGAAAATTCCCCGCAAAATTTCACGGGTAAAAAATTACCTCCATCCCCGCCCCACAGGTAAGAATATTTTGAGAATCTCCATCCCCATAACGGGTATCTCCGCGAAGCTCTGCGGATCGCGGAGAAATTTGCCATCCTTACCTAAAAATACTGTTAGGAGGATGAAGAAAATAGAGTACAGTGGTCCACTCTCTTATATTGTAGGTCCATCTTTTTTTGTAGGTACTAATAATCTCCTTTTTCCAAACTTTGAGCATCGTAACCTTGAACTTCCAAATTTGGGTTTAATTAGTTAATTTAATCTTTTATAGTTTATAATTTAATTTAATAATTTTTTTATCATTTGTGAATCTATGAATACTAATTGATTGATATGTAAATGATTATTTTTAAATTATCTTTATATTATGTAAACCACAACATTTTTAATCATTAATAAAAAAATAAAATTTTAATTACAAAAAAGAGAGTCCACTATTTCATTAATAATTATAAAAAATACAAACAAATTGTACTTCAATTTTATGAAATT